CCAGTCTCTCTCTCTCTTCGCTCAAAAATTCCAATATCCTAGCCCCGAAAGGTTGACCACGGTGTACAGAGACAACCCAAACGTGACACTTCCTCTGTGGGAAGACCACGCTGCATACATGCGAATAAAAGTAAAGAGACTGAAATCAAAAGGTGGTATTGTCAGGTGTGAACGCAAGGAAGATCAGAAAAGAGGCGTACCAAAGCATGAAAAATGTGCCTTGTTTGCCTCTCAGAATAACCACTGTAATTCAGTGCAGGATGGGGTCGAATTTTTGTGTCTCAGACATCTACCGGTGGATTCCAAACCTGTGGAGTAGAAATTGATAACTATTCGAATGAAACACCCTAGCCGTTCACCATAGCCAACGATTGACTAGACAAAGGCTGTGACTATTTCAATCACAGAATTGAACAGAAGCAAAGAAATGGCTCAACCTGGAAAAAAACATTCTCTCGCCTTCGCAATATTCAACATGATATGATTCTCCACTGGGGTGTTTACGTCTAGGAGACACCAGAATTGATCGCTTCGTGGATGGTTGTCGCTGTGAAACGGTTGCTAATCGTACCTCGATATAAGTGATATTGATCACACAAACCACTGGAATCCGCCGTTTAGACGTTATCACTTTAGTAAGTGCTATCAAATACCGATGGGTTTTATCAACATTCGACAACCTAGTCATAACGGAAGCAACTAGAGGTTTTCCCTTCAGCTGGCTTCAATGTGGATCAGCGAACTCTCATTTACTTGCTGTGCAAAGATGCTGCCCAGATTCCAGAGCAGCCCACTGCGTTTTTCAATTGCTGATGCAGGTGCTCATCGTACATGCATCAGACTGTGTGCGAAGTTTTTTTCACTTCACTACATCGATGCTTGTTTCATCCCTCCGAGCTTAAGGTACTCTGTATGTACGGAATGTTCGTATATGGAACAATGATAAATCACCCTTACGTCTTTTCGACTCGTTGCTCTGCACAACGTGCACCCTGTTGGCTTGGTATGACATGACTTAATGACAGGCAAGATGAGGCTTTCATCGGTTAGCTATGATATAATAGCGAGACCCACTTGGCGTAGAACTGGAGACGGGTGAGTGAATTTACTGACCGGAAGTTCGCGGATCGAACTCAACCTCGACATTTCGACTGTTCCAGTCTAGGCTTGAGCAACTTGAACTTATCTCAGCCCTGATGCTTCCTTCGGGTGGCACCGAAAAAGTGTTCAGCTGATCGACTATCAACCATGTGACCTCAAAATGACCCTAACTGAATCCGATTATCCGGAGGGCCCAAGGACTCATCTTCTGAATCCAAGTGAACTTAAAGTTATAGTTCAAAGAATGGGCTATACAAGTGCAGTCCAAACCGAATTAGACACAGCTGTTTATCCACGGTGTTCAGTTGCACACAAATATCGAGAAATCATTCGCCGGTGTAATACTATATGAAAGCACACTCGATTCAATTGAGTACTAGTACGTAGGTGTATGCCTTTCTACACAACATAAATTTACAGAGTTCCACCTAAAACCTTACCAACGAGAGTGGTGTTTCTGGTTAAAGGTCGCTCTAGGGAAGGAGCAGAGTAGCCATTGCGGGCGTAAAGGGATTTCACTCAGTGATGAAATTAGTCAGTATGACTGTTCACAAAACGCCCGGTGATCTATCGACCTCGCGGACTATTCGATATTTATCAAGCCAAAGCGCCAAAATTTGGCTGTCAAGTATCCCAAAATTAGGTGACAATGCATGTTCAATGTCAATCTAGAATGCCGCAGCTGTAGTAAACTTCATAAACACTAAGCTCAACGAAGGAACTGGTTGGCTAGTAAAGCGTTTAAAATCCCAATTACTGAGTTAGACAGCATTCTTCAACTTGGCTCCGTGAGAAAGAATGTGGCACTGTCTAGATGGTGCCCTCCGTTTTCGAGGGCGGGATGCGCATATAAGCATAGCTGACGAGGAATGCTATTCTCGCGGGTCTAGAGGGGTGGCCCATCTCCGCATGTGAGCAGCATCGCATACGGATCACCAATGGAATACAGTGGTTTCGAAATAAAAAAAAGCTACTCGCGGTTTTCGAGTGTACAAATGGACTAGGTGAACTGCTGACAGAAGCAAGAATATCTCTCAGGAATTAGTCTCAGAACGTAGCCGAATGAATCCACGACTGTGTTGACTGTGCTGCGGTGTTTGTTCAGTAGCAGATTCTTGTGAATGTTTTCTAACTCGCAGATAGCTAGTCCGGAAACTTGATAGTGTCTGGACGTATCGAGAGAATTCAGACACAGATGCCAGAGGACTAGCGGCGTAAAGTGATGAGGGCTAGGATTTCATGTTTTCCAAGAATTTTAAGTGTACGTAGCATGAACGAAAACGTATGCCTCCGTGGGGTGGGGCACTGAACGGGCCACCAATCTACCGCTTACTGGACGAATGTCATACCGACTAACCTATCATGTTTCCGTAATCTGCACTCGCTGGTTCTAGTTGTCAAACTCCTGTGAAATTGCTGCACAGCAAATGAAATGTTGTGTGCAACAAATGAATCACACAAATCAGTGGAACGGCTCTTTCAGCTGAACGTCTTGACAACCTTACTCGGTCTAACTGACACTGCCCACGCCGCCGTCGTAATATGCGCAGCTGACAACGCATAAGTGTGGTATTGACATCAATCATGTTGCGGTCGGTACGGTCTGTTTGATATCCTGTTCGTCAGCCCGACCTGAAAAATTTACTCCAAAACTGTTCCATAAATCATGCCGGTCCAGCAAGCAAACGACCATGTCGGACCGGGCAGACTGTACATGACGGAGATGAGTGTGACTAAACCGAACTCCATTAGTTGTTAGTGCTGAAAACCAGGTGTTCACGCTATTGTCATTCCGAAAAAAGCGATGGAATATTCGAATACTTCAATATGGGGAGCCTAAAACCTCAGAAGGTGCTTCCTGACCGTTGGCCCAATCCAGAATTTGTTACTTGTTCTCCTACTGGGGACCATGTCACTCCTATATCATGGGGCGATCTGATACATAAAACAGCATCTACGAAAGTGAAAAACAAGTGAATATTTCGAACGAATATCTGGGACGATCGATTGGGGCTCACTAGCCAACCAAAAAGTTAGTAGCGGTTGTGTGTAAACAGGCCTTACTTCCAAGCTTCGAGGATTTCTAAGCCTTTATCATGATAAGGTACTTGGATGGCATAGGAGCATTTAGTCCCGGTGCACACCACTCCAAGACTTAAATTAATGTGGATGAACAGTGAGTCCCTTGGGTTTGTATTTACTTACTAACACGAAAAAGCCCCAAGTGGGAACATATTTTGACACAAAAACACAGAATACAACTGAATAACAAACAACCTTTCTAGGAAGCGTATTCAGCAACCTTGGTGTCGGATAAGAAAAATAGCTCTCAAGGTTGCAGGACATGATGAGCGTATCTTATACAGTGGACAGCATGAAAACGTGAGCTTTGAATTCGTCGGCTCAGTTAGGAGAACTCTTCTTCATGGCGATGTCACTTATGGAATCGCTTCACCAACGGCGAACTTGCTGCTGCTTATTTACTCATTTCACCTTGCTAGACAGTGTCGCCACTGGATGGATTTGTTGGCGATGTCCGGTGTTTGTTACTGTCAATAACTGCTGAAAAGTGAATCGATTGGCAAAAACATTGATCTTGGTTTTGTGAGACTCACTTAGAACCCAGCTGAGTCTTTTATTTATGATGCTTTTAGGGAACTGAATGGGCTGCACCGAGCTGCCTCATGTTTCAGCTGATACAATATTCGAGATATCGTGACACACTACTCATAAGGACATCATATTCGAGAGATTCAGCTGGGTTCCAGGTGCGTCACCCGCAAAATCAAACCGGTTTCGCTAATTTCGTGCAATTTGGGCTTAAGTGGAACGTAAGGTCGATGGCAAATCGGGGACTGTGTTCAGCTGATGAGCCCCAAGAAAGGTGAAACCGGTAGTGGGCTGTGAAAGAGTTTTCAGCCACCTTATGAGTAGTGTGTTTAAACTTGATCTTGATTGTAAAATGCCCGTATATCGAGCCTTGACTGATTTTGGATAAAGGTCTACTCTCAAATTTCGAGTCCATATTCCAGGAGGACAAAGTGCTCGGTCTCTGACAGTCCCATTCATTTGGGCGTGAACTTGGTGTATCGTGTATGCTTGTCTACTAAGTCTGCTCACGGATTGTGGATCAACATGGGAAAAACCTACATTGTCCATCAAGTCTATTTCCAAGGGCAGCTGATGAACTCCACAATTTTCGCTTACCCTTACCTGCTTTTTCCTGTTCAGTGAACCGAAAAAGCTGCCTGTCGAGTTTCTGGGTGTTCACTGATAGAACGCTCGACTTCGAGGACTTGTCAACTCTCAGAAAAAATGCCATGTTACTTCATTATCGCTTCACTAGTCACCGACTGTCTGTCACCGAACATATGATCCACTCAGTTTAAGTCCACTCAGTGGGTTATTAGTGTCGGAAATCCAAACCTGGGAAACCGTGGTCCACTCACACAGTCCGCGTATTTGGGCCTGTGTTAAACACCTTTATTTAATATTTAGTGGCTGGATACCTACCGAGGAGGCTGAAGACACAAAATACCCCAAGCTACTTTCTTTCCCCGCGGCACCACTCAGCGTGATATTTTTATGTAGGGTGACCTACTACCAGACAAAGATCTTGAATCAGTTAGGTGTGGCACAAAAACCCTTTCTTTCGTCTCCTTGTGGGACGGTCAGTTGGTCCTGGGTATAACGCAGTTGCTTGTCCTCAGGTTGGTATCCTCAAGGTGAGTATTCTTTGTTAATTCTGTCGAATAAATAAATACAGTTCTCGGGTGGTCACGTAGATGATGGCACAAAGTGACCAAACCAAACTGTGAAGCTCAGGGGATGCCAGCAGGGTATGCTAGATTAGCCCAAGTTATGCGATCGGGTTATATTTTCCATCAAATTCCGTATAGCACGAAGTTAGTGGAAATGGAATCTGCGCAACCATTCGTATCACGCAATCCTAATCGTGCGCGTGAGATGACTAGAAACCATGGGAGATTCGTACTGCATATTAATTTGAAATCAAAGTCAGTGAAACTCCTGGGACGCATAAAATTCGGGAGGGACTTACCTTTGCCAATTCATCCATTGCCGCCAGCGGATTGGATCGAAGTTGGGTCAAAACAGAACGGGTTGAATCTGGAGCGGAATGCATCGACTTTTCTGGGGATGACCGGGGTTCCGCCATCGAACTGACACTGTTTTCTAGCTCCAAGGGCAACCGAAGTTGTCGGATACCATGTCGAGCGTAGTGTTCAGATAACTGTTTCGGATGGGCGGTGGTATACTCACAGAATAAACACTGATGCTGAATGCCAAGCATGGGGCCGTTTTGCGAGACGTTCTCCGTTCGCACAGAGGAACGACCACATAACTGACCGACAAATAGAGTTTTCACGTAAGCTCCAGGTTTCTTTTCTGATTTGCTTATACCGTCATCCCTGGTTTGCGGACTGGAATGCTCGCTGTTTTTTCTATTCTCTTTCAATTCCATCGACGCATTGCTATCATTACTATTTTCACTCGAATGTTGGTCGATAAGACCGTTTTCTAGTACCACTGAGCCGCAACCGCCGCCAGCACCAGCACCAACTTCATTGTCAATGGCCTCCGAACGGCCATTGTGCTTTAGTACCGGTGACTTGTGATGCAATTCCAGGTGTTCGGTTAGGAAAGACTTTGAGGAGGCAATTTTCTGACAACGCGAGCACTGATAAAGCATAAAATCCACAGTTTCTGAATCATGTTCCAGATTGAAATGGGTCTCCAATTGGGCAAGCCAATGTGTGTGAAAACAACATAAAGGACAATGTAAAATCAGTACGTCCACAGCATTCAGTAACGGCAGTAGGCCCATCCTCTTTCTAGGGTGGGCAGCAAAAGTGATGAGCGTGAAGAATTCTCCGAATTTCTTGACCAGTGTTGTCACGCCCGAAGCGAAACAGAGTGCTGCATCTGGGTAGAACAACGAGTTATGCGATTCAGTGTGACAGGATACAACCGTGTCATGTCGCGTCAGTGTCCCTTGCCCAGGGCACGCACGAGGTTTATGGGGAGGGCGAGAATAAAAGGGGACGAATGCCACCGGTTTTGAACAAATCAGAGCACAAGACAGAAGGATTGACGCACCGACATCTGACCGCACAATAGGACCTGTGTCGAAGGTGGGGGAGCGCTATATCATGTCGGTGCGTACGTGTGTACGCACGTGCGTCGAGTCAAGGGATGCGTTGCTGTCACCCTGTCGGTCAAATTTGCTGCATTCGGATTGGCACTCTCCGTCCCACAGCTGTCACATGACACATGAGGCAAGCTCACACGTCATTCGACGACTCCGGTGCGTATGTAGGTGCGCGCATACGTGCGTGCTTGCAGACGATGCATACATGATACGCTTCCGCCAGGCGAGCTATTGCTGTGAGCGGTGTATAGACTAGCCTGAAGCGCTAAGGCGTGTCATGTTGGCTGCGGAGGCCATTGGTAGCACACGTCTTTATTTACAGGTACGTATTAATAGGGTGGTAGGCCTCGACAATTGCCGTACTTAATGAGCAAGTGGAGACGCACTAACACACTATCACATGTGTATATACAGAGGGGTGCAGTATGCCGTTTTGAGACATCCATTATGGTACTGAAGCCGACAAAAATTCCGTGCACGTAGAAGCTTTGCACGCCACCTAAGGTATGCTTGTTGTTAACACGGTAACCAATGGGACCAAATTCCTCGTGCTGGCATGTGCGGAAGATAAAAAGATGATTTTGAAATTTTCTAGCAACTCAGACAATGGTGGGTTTTATAATAATTGTACCTACTTCGAATTCACCAGTGGGCAGTCAAATTAATCAGCCAGTTATCTACCATCGGACTGGTACTTTCGGCTAAGTTGTTTGACGTGGGTTTGAATGTTGAGTTTAGGCATACCATACATGATTCACTTGTCAGGTTTTGCTGTATACGATCGACCATCAGCTAAGCATCAAGTGACGAAGGGGAAGCCTAGCTACACATAGCTGGACTCTTAGCTGTTTTCATTACTCTTATGCGCACTTGAACTTCCCATTCAACATGCTGAAGACGGCCAATTTCGAGAGGTTATCGGCGATGGTGAATAATTTTCGTACTTTGGCTCATGATTCTAGCATCTCATACCGAATTGTCCGAAAATACTTTTTGGGGGGTAGACATTTATCCGGCAAAGGCGACTGGGTGCACTGAGCCACGAATCAATACGAAATTAGTTGAGAAATGAAAAGTCCCGAAAAAGTGCTCAATTTCATGAATTGTAGCACTGGTAGAGTTGGTGTTCACCTCATGTCAAATAAACCACGAGGATTCAGGTATTGACAGGATCTCAACTCATTCCATCGCTAAAAGAACGACTGCTGGTTGCTGTTGATTCCATCAAGTCAAACATCTTTGTTCAGTATAACGGAACTATACACTTGTTGAGTATTTCCTATGAGGGTAATCTGTGGATGACTTGAGGGCTGTAGGATTATGAGGAACCACGGTCACTTCGCCTCAAAATAATTACAAGATCATAAGGTAACAGATTATCTAGAAAGAAAAGACGGTATGAAGTGAGATCATTTCAAGTGTCATAGCTTTTACGGAATTGTCTCTGTATTTTATTTAGGATTGTTGAAACAACAACAGTATAAATTACTGAGGAGTGACGAGGCAGAATCAGTCTGTCCCAAGAACACAGAAGAAGGACTAGGCTGGAAATTGGTGTATGAAGATGTGAGCCAGCTTCACAAAGTATGGTTCATGGAACGTATGGCAAATCAACAATGCATTATTAGTAAACCGATCGGTCTGTCACATTAAATCACTCCGACAAGATCCTGTGCACATGCGGCTTTTCACTGGGCCATAGGCCCAACCAGCTGAAGACTCTTCACTTGTTATAGACCCGATTTAGACTCGGGTAGGGACAGAAGAGGATGATTACGTAACCTCCCTGTATGCTCATCTGCTGGCTCATTATGATCATATAAAGCCCTAACAGCTGGAACTTGTAATGTACGCACCGGGTAACTTGGTGACTCGCAACACCTGAAGCGCTTCAAAACTGTGGTCACGAAAGTCATTTTTAGCCTCATTTTTACAAGTGACATTCTGGAATGTTCACTCCTAAGGAGGTCCTTCGAATATGTACACATTTAATGTAATAAAATGTAGTACAGTAATGTAATAACACAATGCACCACAAAACAGATAAACCGTAGGAGATGATGAGAACAGACAGAAAACCTAGACGCGGCTTTTGGGACTCCCTGTAGATATGAGGGCTACTCCCCGGGACATTGCTGAGTGTCCTGTGTTAAGAATGGCTGCCTATAGACCCAAACTTGAACAACTACTTGCTCAGTGGACTCCCTGTAGGTATGAGGGCTACTCCCCGGAGTGTCCTGTGTTAAGAATGGCTGCCTACAGACCCAAACTTGAACAACTACTTGCTCAGTCCGATGCTTCGGAATTTCCGACAGGTCAAGTTCCGATCACACCAGTATGACGTACCGTTTCAAACCTAATCTGTCCTGTAACAAGTTCCAGTAGTGTACTTCATCCTTGAGTATTTTAGCTCAGAACTGTCGGTCGATCAATCCCCCCCAATGGCACTCCGAATTATGTCTTTGGTTCCCACTTCACACGACCGATGGTCAGAACTTCCAGACTTCCGATCAAGGTTTCTAGGTATGATGATTCCATCCTCGGGATTCGTTTCTCGGACTTGGTCATATAGATCTCGTTCACATCCGTTGGACGAAACAGTCTTAAGCATTGTTAACGGATTTACATGAACACAGCCTCCAATTCGTCACATCACACTCCTTAGGGAACTTCTGGTGTTCTTTCTTCTTAGGTATGTTTTGTAAATGCTTTTCGTACACCGGATTCCGCACCCTTGCGTGGTAACTGTTTTAACAGGACAGGTAAAACGATTGCAGCCTTCTTCAGTCACACTCGGTTTTTTAGTTACTCGAAAGCCAGATTCAGACAATGCATAATCTTCATTACCAAGATTCTAATCAATGGAGGGTGTGCTGCCGAGGTAGCAGGAGCATGTAGGATAGTCCACAATATCTCCTCTAATCTCGATGCACAATGCAAGTTGGCGTATGACGTAAGTTTTCTTCTCGCTGCTACATAAACAAACTGTAACTAGAAGCGGATCATGCTGTGAGGCGTTGCGGTTCATGATGTAAATATGCGCATAGTATAGGTCATTCTCAAACACAATAATTCGGATCCGACTCCCGGTACAACACATCCATTAAGCTGGTATTCGACCGGCATATCATCACAGTCATTCACGATAGCTGCTTGCTTAATCATCGTCATATACAGATTGAATGTACCTGGAAAACCGCAATCGCTTCTGTGCGGACAGAACGACCCAGTGTGCATGGCACCTATCCAGCGCCAGGTTCAGTTATCAGCTTAAAATCAAGAGGCTGACTGTTGTTCATGGGTAGACTGAAATGGGCGATTTCAGTTCAAGCAGTGATAGCAACGGAACAGGTGGTCTTCTTTCGTCTGACGGTATTCTATTATCAGTGGACTTCAAGAATGAAATGCGTCACTAAGTGAATGTTCGCCGGAACAGAGGGAGTCTTTCATATTGAATAGCTGTTTGTATTCTGAGTCCATCATTTATCTGTCAGTTCTAGGTGGGGACCGACGATCGACTGGGATGGACAGCCGAACTACTCACAAGTAATATGATTGTCGAAAGAAACAGTTATCTGGCCTGTGCGACTAAAACCCCAATATACTGAAGAGGTCTTCATGGCTAGTTGATAAACCTACATTTACATCGAAACAATTGAGCAACGGTCCCAAATTCGATTATGAATATCAGACGAGCCTATCTGGCCTGAATGTGGGCCTGAATACAAATAACACAAACATAAGTACAGTCATTGGGCAGGACTCGAACACGTTTAGCGATCCACAGACGGTGGGAAGCTGTTTTACGTGGAGAGGTTCATTACAAATTCAACCGTCCTAGGTGCGTCCTTGGTGCGTTTGTGTGTTAGGTCAGGTTAGATATGAGATGCAATATCTGACAAACGACACCTGGAAACTGTACGTTATTGATTTTCTCTAGATGACAATGTCGGTTTGTCGGACCATGTAACTTTTTTACTTTACTTCAGCGCACAGTCAACTCACATCTTGTTTTTCATAAGTTTCATCTCCAAAACTATGTAGTAATGCAGAAAACGGTGAATGTAACGCCAGAAGCGAGGTTATCAACAGGGTTCTTTATGTATTCACCAGCAAGGACAAGTACAAAAGGTTCGTTGGGTGGCACATCTTCACTACATTTGGAGATCTCCTAGTTCTTCAGGTTTATTTTTTCACTCCCCTCACGTGAACGAGTTGAACACCAATGGTCACATCAGCATTATCAATGATCTGTACTGGAAACTACAACAGTTTCCACTGTTTCTAAGCACTCTATCTTGACTGGCTCTACAAACCAACTTAAGTTAGATAAGAAGGATTTTAATTTTACTGGTCAATCAAATATGCGCATCTTCGAGAGGGGACTCGCGTAAAGCTCAGTTTGAACTATGCAACCTTTACCGTTCCACTCGTATTGATTGGCATTCGTGATTCAGGATGAAATCGGGCCAACTAAATCTAAAATTTATGGTTGAAACTAGCTGGAGAGAACAGTCTGTGTTAAATATATCACAGTTGTGCTACTCTGCGAGATGCTCGCGGGACACTCAGTAGAGATGTAGATAGCACGGTTAACATAGTACTGTGGCGGTACTCACAGTACCCAATTAAACTGCTTCACATCAATAAGCAGTTCACGTGACTGTTGCAGAACAGGTTTCGGAAACTATCAAATTTAGGTCAGCTGGAGGAAGGCCTAGGTGACATTAGGATGAAAACAGGGTTGGAATGCAATCTGACAAATATCTGATTACATCAGCAGAGCTCAGATTGTTTCTGACAGGCCTAGCGCTCCAGCAAAATTGTGCGCTCAAATTTTTTCTCTCTCTCCCTCTGCGTGTGTGCGTGTGTAGGATTGTGTGTTACCA